GACCAGTGGGTATAGAGGACAAAAGGAACAGTGGGAACATAGGAGCAGTGGGTACAGAGGACCAGGGGAACAGTGAGAACATAGGACCAGTGGGTATTGAGGACAAGAGGAACCGTGGGAACATATTGTATAACAAAGAGATGATTTTTCTTCTTGTCACAAGCGTGGGAAAAAGAAAAAAAGACCACCTTTCTTATTCTGCTTATGCATGTGACGGTTTCGATTTTTGTTGATTTTAGCAGTATGCAGTATGAACTTTGTAATGGCTTTGCTTTCCTTAGAGTCTCTGTGGCTCAAGCGAAGCTTATTTTTAAACAAGGGTGGGGGATCGAGGAGGGGAAGTCTAGAAAACAAGCGCCTTGGGTGCGCGCTTGTTGGATGGTCGGGGGCCATCCTACCCTAGAAAATTTTAAAATCGCAATCTCAGGGGATAATCTGCAGAGAACAGTACTTTTTTTTCGTTTTCTTTTCCTTTCTCTTTTGTTATTCATGCCTACCTCTGTACTCAACAAAAAAATTGTCATCCCCGCCAAAAGTGGGGTGGCTAAACTCCCCCCCCCCTCCAGCTTCGGTGTCGCTGGCACTTGATGTCGGTTCTAACAATGGTCCACCTTTTTGAAATCTTATCCCATTGCTTTCTCTTAATTTTGCCTGATACACCTTAAAAAATATAACTGACACACAGCTTTAATTTTGATACTGTATACTTTTTCAAGGACACATTGGCTTGCAGAAATTGTCTCACGTATTTACAACAATGGTAACCTGTCGGAAAAGCGAGGTTTTCTCATGGAAAGGGCACTGCACTCACACCAGCCGAATTCTCTAATTCCTGACCTCAGCGCCCTGCCAAGTCTCAGAATTTTTAAGACACATCTTTCTTACGATGTCATCCCGAAATCACCCAACAAGGACACGGTTTGCAAATACATTTACATTGCTCGAAATCCAAAGGACATTGCGGTATCCTATTATTTCTTCTGGTCAGGCATTTCATTATCATGGCATGGACCGTGGGAAGTTTTTGCTAAACTATTCGTCAAAGGAAATGGTGGGTTCTCGACGTTTGGGAAATGACAGTTAGCCTTATCTTTGCGGCTGATTGTTTTTTGTTCTCTGTTTTTATTCGACATCTGTATGCTGTCAAAAATGACAAATAACTGACCAACTAACAACTTTGTTCGCTTTCTCTATCCATTGTCACGTCATCCCTCTCCATCTCTAGCCTAGTTTCGTACCCAGACTATCCACGGTCAAGCGATTGTTCAGTTACAATTACCCGGTAGAATCTTGGTACGAGATAACCTACATTTCAGTCACGATTACACGGTAAGACCTGGGTACGAGATTACCACTACACCCTTAAACCATCCTCTCCTCTTATCCCTAAAACCAACCCCACCATACGGGGAATATTTTAGCGGAACTAGTGTCTTTCTATTTAATGAAGTTGTTTGTTTCTATTTCGTAAGTTCCTTGGAACCACTGGAATGACCATGTTCTGGGCTGGTGGAAGCACAAAGATGACCCTAACGTCTTGTTTCTTAAATGTGAAGATATCAAAAAGGTTTGTTGTAGTGTTCACATCCACATTTGATCAACATGTCAGTTATCATCACAGTCTGATTAGTAGACTGGTGTTGAGAATAGACTGAAGTAGAGCGTCAGTTCACCTCAATCTCCCGTGCGGCGCGCGATGTAACTTTCATCCCTTCCTTGCCAATAAGAGCCAGCCAGCACAATTTTACCCCATAGATTTCGACAGCAGTTCCTGGAAATTCAAAAATAGAAAATACAAGGGATTTCATATGACATCCTTCAAGAATAGGATGGCTACCCGTCAATGACAGTAGAATATGGAGCTTAAGCAACCACGACGAAAGGGACGACAACGTCAAGTAATCGCGAAGGGTCTGGAACGAGGACGTCGTTTTTAGCGGGAAAATGAAACTTAAGCGGTGAAGTTGCTCAAGGACGACGACGTATAAAATCTTTTATTCTCGCTTCGTCAGTTTAAGAAATGAAATCGTTCAGAAACGTCCAAAACCTTCTTCTTCTCGATCATGGATCAAATTTCCACCTATATATCGAAAGTTCGATATAGGTTATTCAATTCTTGAACATCAACAGTCCAAGGAAATATTACCTTCTGCTTTATTTACAATAATTTACGCATGGCAAAAGTTAAAATTATTAAATTTTACGGAAGTTATTTTAGATTTAAATTCAGTTCCGAAGTGTTGCTGATACAAGCAAACCCAATTTACACAAGGTTTGCCTGATTTTCAACATGCTTTAGCCTGACATGTTCTACCTTTGATGCTCCTTCCTTTGGCGAGCAAACGACTGTCAATTTAATCAATGCTAGCTAGCGATCGGTACAGATAGCAGTCGTCGCGCTTCACAAGAATGCTATTTTTTCCCGTGTGATTTTGTCGAAATAATTTTTATGGCTGTAAATCAATATCAAACATTTCGAAAATAGATTCGCAAAACCTGACAGGTATTCAAGCTTATGTTAACACACCGATCTGAAGAATTCGATAAGTCGATTGAAGAAGAGCAACAAGCAAATTGTTTTAGTGGCAATAATTCGGCAGTTCAATACACACAGCTGTTGACTACGGAAGCCGAAAAGGGACAATCCAAAAATATTTTTCAAATCCCGAAAAATATTTCAAATCGCAATATTTATTTTAAACTCACTGTCGAAAAGTTTGACAAATCCAAAGATATTTTGCAAATCCAAAAAAATATTTAGAAATCCAAAAAAATTTTT